GGCTCGGTTCAGTTTCCATTTGATAAACCGATGCCCCTGGATCTGATCCGTAAAATAGTACAGGCAAGGGTACATAAAAATACAGCCGGCTGACGGTCTATATAATAGGTATTAATCGGCCAGTCCCATCTGGATGGCCAGCTTCACCAGGCCCACGCTGTTTTTTACATCCAGCTTTTGCAATAAACTGTACCGGTGGTTTTCAACGGTCCGGAAACTGATAAATAGCTTGTCGGCAATTTCCTGGGTGGTGTTTTCTGCTACAATCAGCTTCAGGATCTCTTTTTCCCGTTGGGTCAGCTCATGTGCCATCCTTTCGGTTTTGTTGCTTTGAAACCGGGTGATGTTTTCCAGGAGCTTTTCTTTCAGGGAAGGCTCTATAAATTCATGACCTTTATAAACTTCTTCAATGGCCAGCACCAGTGTCTCCTGGTCGGTATCTTTTAATAAATAACCGCTGCATCCACGCCGCATCATACCTGATACCATAGACGGAGCATCCAGGCTGGTCAGGGCAATGATCTTCACGGCGGGATAGTTACTTTTAATGACCGGGGCAATATCCCTGCCTGATTGTCCGGGCAGCATAATGTCCAGCAATAAAATATCCGGCTGCCTGGTTTTTAATCCTTCCAGCAATGCGCTGGAACTGTTGAACAGGTCCATGATCTCCAGCTGTGGAAAGGGGGTCAGCATACTGGCAATGCCATTGGTAGCCAAAGGGTGGTCATCCGTAATCGTGATCTTAATGGACATTTTTTGCTGGTTTTAGGGATAAAGAAGAAAGCAGGTCGAACTCCAGGTAGATGGCCGTGCCATTGTCTTTGTTGCTCTGGATTTCCATACTGCCGTTATGAATGCGTGCACGGTTACGGATGCTTTTCAGCCCCATGCCATCGCCCGCAGCAAGGTCCATCCCGCAACCATCATCTTCGATAGTAATACTGAGCAGGTCATTGCCGTAGTTAAGCTGTACAATGGCGCGGGTAGCCTGTGCATGTTTGATGATGTTTTGCAGCAGCTCCTGCACCATGCGGTAGAGGGATATCTCAAAAGAAGGCAGCAGCGGCGGCAGCTCACCGTATTGATGAAAAACGATGTTCAGGGGCGTGGTTTCTTCCACGTTTTTACAGAAATAATAAATGGCCTGTGCAATGCCTTCTTCCAGCAATACATCCGGCATCAGGTTATGGGCGGTACGTCGTAGCTCGCTGGTGGCCTGGTCAAAATGTTTCAGTAACTGCTTGTACGCCGCATGGTCGCGGAGCAGGGGAGAGAAGCGGGGCATGGAATTAAGTCCCATTTTTACCAGGGCAAAACGTACCATCACGCCATCATGTAATTCGCGGGAGATACGGGTGCGTTCATTTTCTTCGCCTTCCACGGCATACCGTAGTTTTTCTATTTCCCGTTGCTGTTCATAATTGTGCAACCTTGCAGATTGGAGGTGTTGTTTATG